AAAAAAGGAAGCATATTGAAATCTGTCAGAAATGGCATAAAGTAATATTGAAGTTTGCACTTAAGAACAAACATTTGCAACACCTTCGTGTATTTTACATTGTAGAGCAGAGAATGAGCACTTCATTGAATGTTGGTTGCCATTTGTATCAAATGCCAACACGAATGATTCATATCATATGTTGACAGCATAACATTTTGCTCAGCTTCACTCCACGTACTGGGAGGAGGTGTTCATAAAATGTTAGAACACAGTCTCATGACTACACCGTTGTGTATGGCTATCTTTTAAAACTTATTTGCAACCGAGTCCCTTTGGGGAGAGGGGGCGGGTACAAATAAAGTCCTCCACCACCACCACCACCACCATCATCATCATCATCATCATCATTTTGTCTTTGAGGCCCATTCTGTTTGGAGGTCAGATTTTTGATTCTGTGTTTTGCGTGCATAACCTTGAAATGCTTAATTTTAAAACTAGGGTGAAAAACCTCTAGACCTCCAGATATTATTTTTTTTTACTATAACAGTGCAATTTTATTTTTAAGGTTGACTCTTTTTGTGTACTTAAGTATATCGTAATCATTTTAATTTGTAAACAGCCTAGAATCCTAGACTTGGGGGGAAAGTGGGGTATACTGATAACAACAACCCTCCGGAACAATAGGGATCAGAGAGAGGATAGATAACACAAGAAGGCAAGCAATAGCAAACAAGCAAGGGATCACCATGGAAGCAGATGGAAATGAATTAGAAATCCCTTTTCTCCTCCAGTCCCAACATAGCTGCTGCTGGATTCCTTATTGAGCTCTTGTATCATTACAAAGGTTTGCTAAGTTAGAGTCCCAGCCAGGAGAACAGAGCTTCAAGGTTGGACACTAGTCCAGGGCCTCTGTTTTGCATTACTCTTCACCAAGAGGCCCGAGCTTCAGGTCTTCCTGCTCACAACTATTTTGGGCTTTTCTTTAGAGCCAAGATGGAAAGATAAAAGATGGTGTAGAAGAAAAAGAGATGTTGCTACTGTCACCTGTTCATCTGTAAGTTCCTGTAAGCAAATTAACATGAACAAAGTCCGCCCTACTGTTAGGCAGGATGAGCCAATTGCTATGGCCATCTAAAGCTCCATGGCTTGTTAAGCCCTTCCTTCTACACTTGTCTCTGTGGGAGACGAAAGGTGTAGTGAAAGCTTATCAGCTTTCAATTGGCACTCCACACAGCCTTCTCAACATTGAATGGGGAGGAAATATCTTGAGTTGGTCCTGATCAGGTAAAAACAGATGAAAATCTGGATTCAGTGGTAATGAGGAGGACAAATGTCTCACAAAAACCACAGCTGGCACTTTGTAATGGTTGTTCAAAACCTTAAGGCAGGGCTGAGACAAAGGCTACAAAATCAGAGGTCCTAAGCATAAGCTATGTTTTGGCAAAGAAAAGTTGCCACAACATGAACGCTGGTGTCCTTTCAGTGTTTTACCCAAGGTGTCCATGCAGACCTGAATGCAGCACAAGTAAGAAATTGAGAACAACTCAGGCAACTCCAGCTTGGAAGGCAAGATAAAAAGGTTCCTGTCAGTAATGGAAGTTGTTACAGAAATGGAGCTGTTAAATTATAAACAAAGATAGGGTTTCATTTGGCACCCATTATGTAGTTACTCGGAAGGTCTCTCTCTTCCATTCCCCGAGTTTCCCTGCATTTTACCTAGCTTGGTAATAATTGAAAGTGACAGGTGGAAATCTCAACAGCTAACATCACATTTCCTTGGCTCTAAAAGAAAAGAGCAAGGAAGAAACGTGGTAAAAGATTAGAGATTTTTTCCTTAAAGCCAAAGATCTGCTCAACAGCAGAATTTTCATCTGTTTTATTCATTTTCACATTTTGGTTTATCTTCCTCCACCCCAGTTACTTGGGTCAGGTAGGCTTCAAATAGATTTCTGAATATTAACTTTTTCTGTACTGTTGTATTTTTTGAGTTTCTATGTTCCTCTACATCAGTGGTTCCCAGCCTGTGGTATATGGACCACCAGTGGTTCCCAAGAATTAAAATATGGTCCGTGACCTCACTGTTACTACACCGTTGCAATGAGAGCTACTGGTCTAACAAAACCCTCTTATGGTGCTGAGGCAACATGGACGTCGGGAGGGGAAAGTCTGACTCCCCACGAAAGGCGCGACAACAAGCCTCCTGACTGCTTTTCTCCTTGTCCCCTCTCCCCCTGAGCAGAGCCATTTCATGTGGCACCTGGAAGCAGGGGCACCTTGGTATCTTCATTTTTAGGCCTATTCCTGGGGTTATTTGGGGTGCAGATTTAGGAAATTGTGTGTGTGTGTGTGTGTGTGTATGGTGTCAGGAGTGACTTGAGAAACTGCAAGCACAGTGTTTAACTTCACTGCCATAGCACAGTGTTTAACTTCATTTCTGCATTGAACAAAATGCAATAGGGAAAGCATCATTTGCTACACATGAGAGCTCGGAAATGAGATATTATGTTGTCATTGTGTTGTAGGAACAGGAATACTGTTTCCTTATAAGGATGTAGCCAGGAAAGACAGTTTAAGTGATTGGTTTATGAAGCTCTGTGGTGAAATAATAAATTGCACATGTGTTAAAAGAACATAACAGACTTTTGCCAGGGAACTGCATTGGTTTTATTGGCACTGTTTATACAACCAATGTCTTAACTTGCTTTAAATATTACCAACAGTTTAATTAGTTTAAGTAATATGAGAATATTTACACATTTTCAATACTATGGGCAGTTGGACTTTTGTATGCTTGAACTACAACTATATTTATTTTAGCTAGTAAGCCAGCTTGAGTTTAGATTTAGGTTTATCTAGACAACATTATCTAACAAAATTTGAAAAAAATTCTCTCTCTGGTTTGAAAGTGTTATTTCATGTTTAATCGTGTGGTACTTACTTTGAACGTGGTTGTTATGCTCCAGAAACTTCATTTTTGTGGCTGCCACAAACTATGTTGAACTGCTGGGTTTTTGTAGGTTTTTCAGGTTGTATGACCATGTTCTAGAAGCATTCTCTCTTGATGTTTTGCCCAACCTGTGAGGATGCTTGCCACAAATGCAAGTGAAACATCAGGAGAGAATACTTCTAGAACATAGCCATACAACCCAAAAAACCTACAACGACCCAGTGATTCCGGCCATGAAAGCCTTTGACAATACATATGTTGAATGGGTTGAGACTCTATGCGATACTCATTGAAAAACTATAGCAAAACATGCTACAGGATGTCTTGCAAAAAACAAAGTTTTTGCAGCTTAATACACCTTTTCCATGTTTTAATGAAAGAACCAATTAGGAAATGACATTTATAATCCAAGAACAACCCTTGTGTTACATAATGTAACCAATAGCGAAATCTTTTTCTGTGTTCCTTAAGGTTCCATCAAAACAAGGTGCCTGAATGTACAAGATGCCTGAAAAACAGCCTGAGGTTAAGAAGATAAGCCAAGGAGTCTGTCTGGGTGATCGAGAAGATCAATGATAGCAGGGCTGAGGTAAAAGTACAACATGGTCAGGAGCAAGTGTTACAGATCAGTTGTCTGCAACAGGAAATTGTGGCACAGCTGCTAGATCCGGCATCCTCAAACAGCCCCCCCAGCAGCTTTTGGGCCTCCAACTCTGAGAATTCCTGGCCATTGAACAAGCTGGCTGGGGCTTCTTGAAAGTAGCAGTTTGAGGATGCTAGATTTATAACCCAACTTCTCACCTGTTCTTTGATTATTGAGTGTTTTTCTTTAAAAGATAGCTAGAGCCCTTCCCTTCCCTGACATCTATCAATGCAGATGTCTCTAAGCTTTCTTCTTGAACTTGCCTGGCAGGTTGAGGTTGAGAGACAACACATTTCAATGTAGGTTTTAAAAATATCTATACAAACCAGCTTTAGCACAGCCGCTTAATCACCAGCAGCAATAGATCACACCAATTGAAAGGTTGGCAGTTCAAAGCCTGGGTTGGGGTGAGCAGCTGACCTTCAGCCTAGCTCACTGTCCACCTAAGCAGTTCGAAAACAGCTGTGAGCCATGAGCTATGAGTAGAGAAATTAAGCAGGGAGGTATTTTACAGCACCATAAAAAGGAAATACCAGAAAATGCCAGCAATCAAAGAAAGGAGGAAGCCTGTGATCAAGGGCTCTTTCTCATAGAGGTTGGAGCAACAGCACCCCCATGTGGTCAGAATCGAGCACAACCTTCAGGATGGTGAAGTTGGGAAAAATGCCACCTCTGTCTGTTGTCTGTCCTGTCTAAGGGCATTGAATCTTTGCCATGTATGTGTTCTGTGATCCGCCCTGAGTCCCCTTTCAGTGCTGAATGCCAAAACCTCTGGGGACCCACAGGTTGAGAACCACTGTCATAGAGAATGAAGCAACTGCGCCTCCCTGTGGCTGGAATCAAGCACAACCTCTGAAATGCATAAGTTGGGAAAATGCCCATATACCTCTATGTGTCGCTTGTATAGTTCCCTTTGGGGTGAGAAAGGCGGAATATAAATGCTGTAAATAAATAAATAAATAAATGCCTTTACTTGGGAAACCCAATGGACACTTCCTGCCTAGAACACGAACACAACTGGAGCCCTTCTGGCAAGGTGACCCCGGCACTGCAGCATCCCCTCCTCGCTAGGGAAAGAGAAGAGTGGGGGGCGGGGGGAGGGCGCACGCACCCTTCTTTTGCCTGTAGGTTTTTGCCCCCTCTTTCTTGCACGTGGCTGGGAGAAGGCGGGGGGGGGGTGAAAAAGCCAAGCAAGGGGTCGCTTCGGCCCCTCTGGCGTTCCCTCTCTCTCTCTCCATTGCTCCGTTGCCCAAGGGGGTCTTGCAAGGCTCCTCGTCAAGGTGGCCGTGCCCTTGTGCAGCCTGGAAGGCAGCCCCTCTCTTGGCTGCAGCAGGGGCTCGGGGTGGGGGGGGGGAGCCTTCCTCTGCCCTGGCTCCTCTTCCTCGCCACACCCCCTCCTCTGACCTCGTGAGGAGAGGCGGGAGGGGGGCGTGCGCGCGCGCGTGTGCCCGAGGAGCTCTCCAGGCATTGCAGGGGAGGCGGCGCTCCTCCGTCTCGGGCCTCCTCCCGCGCCTCCAGCCCCTCGCCGCCCTCGGCCTCCGTGGCGGACCCCGGCGCGGACGGAGCACGTGGGGCTGGGCTTGGCTGCTGCTCCCGGGCCCCCCTCCCTTCCCCTCCCGAAGAAAGCCGGCTGGCCTGGGCCGAAAGCAAGCCAAGCAAAGAAGGGAGGAAGGAAGGAAGGAAAGGCAAGGAGCCCTCCGGCCGGCGCGGCGCTCCTCTTCCTCTGCAGCCTTCTCGGGCCATTAGCGCTGCGCCAAACTCCGGCCAGGTAAGGGGCGACCAGGGCGAGGAGGACGCAGCTGCTCCACCACGGCAACCAGGCGTTTGGCGAAGGAGGCAGAGGAGGGCTCCCTCCCTCCCTCCCTCCCTCGAGATGGTTAGGGGCACGGGCATGCCTTCCCATAGCAAAGCTCCTGCTCCCCTCCATGGCATTTTCTGGCGTTTTCTCCTCTCGGGGAGGAGGGCCTGGCTCTCCCGATCTCCCCCTTCTGCTTCTCCCTACAGAAATCCCCCTCCGGTCCCCAACTTTCTAGGCTTGCACTAACCCGAAACTTCCTCTCTGCCTCGAAGAGATACAACTGGAGCACCGCAAGGAAGGCGAGCGCCGCGGGAAAGAGGTCCGCGCTTCCCCCTGCCTGCCTGCCTGCCTTCCTTCCCTCCCTCTTCCTCCCTCCTTCCTTCCTTCCTTCCCTCCCTCCTCTGCTTCCTCAGGCTCAGGCGAGGGGCTTCGGGGCGGGAGGAGGGCTCCTGTTTGGGACCCGCTCCTCTGGCGGTCTGTGCTGACACTCCAAAGGCCCCCCCTCCCCGACAAAAGGACCCCCGAGATCATGTTTTGTTTTTTGTGTCAGGAGTGACTTGAAAAACTGCAGGTCGCTTCTGGTGTGAGAGAATTGGCCGTCTGCAAGGACGTCACCCAGGGGACGTCCTGATGTTTTTGATGTTTTACCATTCTTTTGGGAGGCTTCTCTCCTGTCCCCGCATGGGGAGCTGGTGCTGACAGAGGGAGTTCATCCGCGCTCTCCCCGGATTCGAACCTGCGACCTGTCGGTCTTCAGTCCTGCCGGAACAAGGGTTTAACCCACTGCGCCACCGGTGAGGGTTGCCCTTCTCAAAGGGGGTGAGAGCCTGGAAGGCTAACCTCCCCAGCCTCCCTGGGATTTCCCTTCGGAGAAGCTGGGAATGCTGGTGGAAACCCCAACTAGACCAAGTGCCCTCCTTGGGGAAGAGAAAAGGGTGCAGAAAAAGACAGGGATCAAGGGGGGGGGGGGCAGGAGATGCTTGGACCCCGGGGATCCCATAAGGGAAAGGCGGCCTCTTCCAAAACCCGTATTTATGTGTATGGTTTCCAGTCCCCGTAGTATTCCTTCCGTGGCTTGTTCTTTCACTATTTTCTTCTCCTTCTTCTGTGAATGGGCTTTTTGTGCCTCTCCCCCGTTCCCGATCCTTTAAGGCTGCCCCTTTCTCTCTTTCCGTGAGCCAAGGAAGCTTCCTCTTGATGCCCAGGGTTCATCTTCTTCGGGCGGGAGAAGACTTTCGCTGGCGCCTCTTCTTGGAAGCGCGGCGTTTCCTGGAAGTTTCCGCCTCCCGGCTGGAAGCATCTCAAGCAGGGCTTTTGCTGCGGGCGATTCCAAGAGGTCTTCCCCACTCCCCCTGAACGAGGGAAAGAGACCCAGGAATGGGGAAAAGGCACTGCTCTGCCGCCCTCCTGTTGTGGAGACAAGGGGAGAAGACCCGCACTCTGTCTCTTTCATGTATTGTCGAAGGCTTTCAAGCGGCTGAGGGGGGGAAAAAGAAAGGGCCTGAGGTCTGAGGATGCTGGCCATAGATGCAGGCGAAACGTCAGGAAAGAATGCTTCTGTACCTGGCATACAGCCTGGAAAACTTACAACACCTCTGGGTCTTTAGTTTGCACACTGTGTGGTGGTGGGAGGGTGGAGAAGAGAAGGTATGGCTGGAGGTGAGGCAATGACCTCCTGTTCTCATTGCTGGGTTTCATCCCTGGACTGCACAGTTTCTTGTGTCTTCAAGTCTCCAGTCCTCAATGAGTAGCTAGACTAGAGTTAGGATTGAGCTTTATTTATTTATCATATCAGGAGCAAACCAAGGATGCAGTTGTAATGTATTTAGAAAAACACACAATATTTAAAAACTTGGCATTATATTAAATATCCTTTGACCAGGATCTGGCCACTTGGAGTACCTCTGGTGTTGTTATAAGAAGGTCCTCCATTGTGTATGTGGCAGGGCTCAGACTGCATTGTAATCGGTGGTCTGTGGTTTGCTATTCTCTGCACTCGCTTGTCGTGGACTCCACTTTGTGGTCCCATTTCTTAAGGTTGGCTCTGCATCTCGTGGTGCCAGAGTGCAGCCTGTTCAGCACCTTCCAAGTTGGCCAGTCTTCTGTGTGCCTAGGACGAAGTCTCTCATTTGGTATCAGCCATGGATTGAGGTTCCTGGTTTTAGCCAGCCACTTTTGGACTCTCGCTTTCTGAGGTGTTTCTGGAGTATCTCTGTAGATCTCAGAAAACTATTTTTTTGATTTAAGACCTTGGCGAGGATTAAGCTGAGGGATTCCTTTCCCCACTTTGCCATGCATATTTTCCCAAAAGGGCTTTGTCTTTCCTCCTCCTCCTTGCCCTCTCTCCTCCCCCTTTGAAGATGTAGTATGGGAATCTCTGTGAGGGAACTTCCTTTTTAAAGGTATTTTTATTGCCCTGGGCTTGGCCATGTCGCCTTTCACCACCATTGTCTCTTCTGCCTTTCCCCCCTTCCAGTGAGGATGCACATTTTGCCTCTCCTTTTAGGCAAAATGTAGCTGCATTGATTTTTTTGACTTTTTACCTTTCTTACAAGATGAGACTCAATAAGCTAGTTAGCTCCAATACTTTTTCTATATAGAATGTATTTCTGTTACTTCAATAAATATTTTGAACCTAAAGTTCTGACTGTGCAATCCTAAGAAATAGAAGCTTATCCCAGCTCATCACACGAGTTTCTGCTGGTTATGAAGTTTACTTCTGGTACTCAGCTATATTTATGGTAGAATCTCCCCAACTGAGGGTTATTTTTTGAGCCTAACAGCGTAGATTCCCCAACAGCTGGCCACAAGTGTATAGAACTGTTGTCCTTAAGAAGACTGATGTTGATAGTGTTTACCTACCACTGTTTTAAGATATATTTCAGAAGAAGGCAATTACAAACCACCTCTGAATATGCCTTGCCTCAGAGAATCCCATAAAATGCAGAGGGCCACCATAGGTCTACAGCAGGGGTGTCATACTCATTTTCATGGAGGCCCACATCAACCTTATCATTGCCTTCACCGGGCCATTGAATCCATGGATAGAGAATCCCTGGATGTAGAGGGCCAACTATATATTATTTTACATAGTGACCAGTGCTCTTTAGTTTTTACCCAGTTTGGGTCCCTGGTTGTTATTGGATGACAACTCCCATCACTTTTGATTGTCTACCATGCGGACTGGGGATAATGGGAATGGTCACCCAACAGCACTTTTGTGGTTCTGAGGTTGGGGAAAGGTTAAAGGACATTTGAAAGTCAGCCATCCCATCCACAAGACTTGTATCTAAATCCAAACCTCACTATCCGGACCAAACAGAACAATCTGCAGCCTTCCAGATGTTTTACTACATCAAAATACCCATCAGCTCTAGTCATGATGTCTAGTGATGGAGTTGTAGTCTAGCATCTGAAAGGTCACATAAGATGATACGGAAGGCCCGTTTCAGCCCCCAAGACTACATGTGGTCTACAGGCCAACTGTAGGCAAGCAGGTAGGTAGTTCCTTCTTTGTGTTGTCAAAGGCTTTCATGGCCGGAATCACAGGGTTGCTGTGAGTTTTCCAGGCTGTATGGCCATGTTCCAGAAGCATTCTGGGGGAATCCTTTTTTGAGAGGTGTTAGCTGGCCCCCGGTGGCACAGTGGGTTAAACTGTGCTGACAGGACTTAAGACCGACAGGTTGCAGGTTCGAATCTGGGGAGAGTGTGGATGAGCTCCCTCTATCAACTCCAGCTCCTCATGCAGGGACATGAAAGAAGCCTCCCACAAGGATGGTAACACATCAAAACATCTGGGTGTCCTCTGGGCAGCATCCTTACAGACTGCCAATTCTCTCACACCAGAAGCGACTTGCAGTTGTCTCAAGTCGCTCCTGACACGACAAAAGAAAAGAAAAGAAAAAGCTGGAATGTCTGGAATTTCCATTTTCAGAGTGTTATTCTTTATTTACTGTCCTAATGTTAGGGTTTTATATACTTGTATCCAGATTCAATTCCTTCCTTGCTTCCAGCTGTTTTCTCCCTACCTGCCCTGTCCACTTGGGCTTATTTTCTCCCCGGAGACACAGGGAGCATTCCGTTTCCATTCTTGCTGGTTTGATTTTTTTTTATCTTCCTAGGAAAATCAGCCTGCCCTTTTAGAAGTTAGCATGTGTAGTGTGGCATGAATAATGAATTGCATTGTAGAAATGGTAATATATTTCTCATGTATAAATCAAGGATGTATGCTGTGGTGGCAGTTTTAGAAAATCTGTTAGGTAGTTTTGGGCTTTTAAAAAAATCCGATGGTGGAGGGAAGAATTAAAGTCCATTAAAGTGCTAAATTACATAAAAGCTTTATTGTAATGACTGACTTTAGATGTCATTCCACTCTCTTTTGAGAAACCCTTTGTATGTCTGGCATTTTAGCCATAATACTTCATTATTTATTTACGTATTTATTTTGGTATTTCAGCCTTACTGCTACAATCTCAAGGCAGACACATAGGCAAAGTTTTTCCATTTCATACCCATAAGAGCCCTGCACGGATGACAGATGGTTACTGAGTAAATGCCATGGTTGAACCAGATTTTGCTGATCAAAATCTCAACCCCTGTGCTATAGTCAGTTTTTATAGTATGTGCACAAATATTGAACAAGATAAAACATAATTGAAAGCAATTACAATAAAAGTGCCTTCATGCCAGCTCTTCTGGCCCTCTTTCTCACCCCCTGCCCAATTTCCCACAGGTGATTTTGTGGTAACCATAAAGCACAGGAGTGGCAGTGATATGTGTTTTGATAGTGAATGAACCTTCTTAAGGTTGCAAGCTAGTCATCCTGTATTTACATGGAGTTAAATGTTGTTGAAAGTGTTGGGTCTTATCTCTGACTAAACATGAATAGAGCTGTGTAGTGCTAGAAAATCCTTTGTGAAATGCATTGTTGAAGGCTTTCATGGCTGGAATCACTGGGTTGTTGTGAATTT